AGAGTTATCCACCACAGAGTAAAGGTAAAATGAGCCAAGAAGCTTCTGGAGCTAGGTCATGATGGTTGGCCCATCTCCCTCCATCAGTTAGCTATTTGCCTTCCAGCTCTCTTCTCTGGTGACCTGTTGGGGACATTGTGCCTTGCTTTACAGGAATAACGGGAGTCATTCCTGTCACCTACCTCACAACTGTGCTGGATTCTGACCCAGTTACTGAAACATCTCTTTCCTTTGTTCTCTTGTTCAGTCTGCTTCTTGTTCACTCCACCCTACAGCTCCAGTTTTCATATTACTCATGTCTTAAGGTCTTTTCAAATATTGTATCACTGTCTCCATCAAGGTTTCCAGACAATCCCAAGAGAAAGCACTTTCTCCTTTATTTGATCCCCATAGCAATATATTCTTAACACACTCATGCATATAATACCTTTGTGGTAGCCTTGATCATATTTTGTCTATTTCACATTAGAGCTGGGAATTGCCTTAGTCTCTTCTCACATACCTGGAGGGGACTGTAAATCGTTTCAGCTGACATCATCTCACATACCTCCATGTGGAAATACTCAGTAACTACTGGCTGAATTTAATTGGATAATAAAAAGAGATGGTTCTTGCTGAAGACAATGAATATATTAAATAAAATGAATGATGAAACTTACTGCTTTCATTTCCTTGGTGGAAAGTTCCTTCTGGGGGAACCATTTTATAAGTTGTAGGGTACTCACCTTTAAAGGAGTTCAGGTGTAGAGTACTGATATTTAGCTCTTTTTTTTTTCAAGAGGTTTTTGCTACAGGGTGCATGCACTTGCCAGAGAGACAGAGAGAGACAGGGAGACAGAAAGCGAGAAATCACCCTCCAGAGGGGATGGCCATGCCACAATCCCTTCTCCTTCATTCTCCTCTCAGGATCTTGGGCACACACGCACACGCGCCTGGCGTGAGTTTAAGCCACTGGATCTAGGACTCAAATTGCAGTAGACTACATAGCCATTACGCTAACTGCTGGTCCCTAGCTTTTTTTTTTATTATTAAGAATTTTCCTTAATACTGTATCTGTATTTATAGTTGATCCTCATTATTTGTGGATTTTGTATTCACCTACTTGCTAAAATCTTTATCTATAATCCCAAATTAATAAAGTTGAAAACCTTGAACAATGTGGATTTGAAATGCATAGGTTCACATATATATGGATGATTTTCAATAAATACCGTAAATGTATTTTCTCTTCCTTAGGATTTTCTTAATAACATTTTCTTTAGCTTACTTTATTATAAGAATACAGTATCTAATATACATACAAAATATGTGTTAATAGACTATGTTATTGGTAAGGTCAACAGTAGGGTTGAAGTATTTGGAGAGTCAAAATTTATACACAGATTTTCAACTGTGAGGGGGATCAGCGCCCCTAACTCCCACCTCATTCAATAGTCAGCCCTACTTGTGGTAATTTATGGTAACTCATGGCTTTCATGGTAATTCATGGGCATATACAGAGTGGAAAAAAGGTTGAGTTGCTCAACATACACATTGCCACCTGAGGCTGGACAAAGTGATGCTCTGCTTTCTTGTTCCAGCTTTTGTAACGTAAACGTAAACAAGTATCCTTTTCACAGTCTACTTGGTGCCATATTTTCCCTATTTTTGTGCTTTGTGTGTGTGATTTGACTATTTAAAATGGCTCCCAAGCAGTGCCATCTAATGTTCTGAAGTGCAAGAATGCTGTGACGTGCCTTTTCTCACAGAAAACCTGTATTATATAAACTTGCTCAGGTATGAGTTGTTGACCTAGAGGTCAGCATTGATCAACAGTACAAATTATGTAAGGTCTTTAATCAGAAGCATACATAAAACAAGGTTATTCGTTGATCAATCAATGAAAATGTCATAACCAGAGGCTTGAAGGAACCCAATCCTGTATTTCCCCTAGGAGCAATGGTTCAGTATTTGCTGATTCAGTGATTATGACACTTTGTAGAACACAACCGCCTTGAATAATGAAAAGTGACTGTCAGTTTTCCCCAGGAATGTAGGTAAGCTAGGAATTCAACCATTTTTCTTTCTGTTTGTTTGTTTGCTTTAGTTTATTTTCGTGAAAGAGACAGAGAGTAAGAGAAAGAGGAGACAAGCATCCTTATGAAATATCATGCCACAATCCTCCCCTCAGCCTTTCCAGCCAGCTAGGATCATATATGTACATGTATGTATCTGGCATGTACAAGTCGACATGGGAACCAAACCCTGATCTTCTATATAACTTTCACCATTGCTGAGCTTTGTGTTACCACTGTACCACTACAACTGAGCCATCAATTATTTTCCTTTTTGTTTTTATTTATTTATTTATTTGTTTTTGTTTTTGCCAAAGGGTGTGTGTGCCTGCTAGAATGAAAGAGAGAGTGTGAGAAAGCATCCCCATGAGGGATGATCATGTCGCAATCCCTTCTCTTCCATTTCTCCCTCCCCAGAGAGTTTTGGGCATGCACACATATGTATCTGGCTTGTTTTACAAGCTGCCAGGTCTGGGACTCAAACTACACAGTTGGCCATGTGGGATCTGGCTGCCTTAACTACCATGCCACTGACTGGTCCCAACTACTTCTTAATGTTAACTTTGATGGTCTGCAATTTAAAGCCAGGTCCACTTGTAGGCTTTCATCACCTCCTACCTGTAGCATTTTCTAAATTATGCAAACTTATAAATTTTGAAAATGCCAGCTAGTATAAAAACAAAGTTAGGACCACCTGTTATGTGATCTTACTATCCTGAAATAGCTATTGTTGTTTTGATTTAGTTTATTCTAGTACTTATATGTTTTTGGTCATTTTTAGATTTAACATTATATTGTTAGCATTTTTCTAATATTCTTCAAGAAACTCATTTTTAATGGTCACGATGGTTCAGTCAGCATCTGCCATGACAATTATACCAATTGGCATTACCTGCTTTCCCTCAACATTATCAATACAATGTATGCTTGACTTTTTAAAATCTTTGCCATTTTAATAAGAGAAAACAATGTCTCATCATAGTTTTAATTTACATTTCCCTTATTTGCATGTGGTTGATTTTCTTTGCATTTTAAAATATGTATTCACCATACATATATATTTATTGACTTTTTTTTTCCTGTTTGACTGCTGGTGTTTTTATTGTTTTATAGAAGCTCTTTTTTTAAAAAAAAGAATTATTATTATTATTATTATTATTTTGCTTTTGTTTTTGTTTTGTTTTTGTTTTTTTGAGAGGTTTTTACTATAGGGGGCATGTGCTCACCAGAAAGACAGAGACAGAGAGACAGAAAGAGAGAAATCACCCCCAGGGGAGTGGCCATGTCGCAATCCCTTCTCCTCCATTCTCTTCTTGGGATCTTGGGCACGCATGCACACACGCCCGGTGTGAGT